TAGCACTATTCAACTCCTGTTCTGATTTGTTTCCAAAAAAAGTATATGTTCTACCAGCAAAGTCTATGAAGAGCAAGGTAAAGGGGCAGGATTAGAGATTGATAGAACCATGGTCAAGGAATAGTTCTTTAATGTGAGAGTTTAAATCTCCAGGACCAGATCAACTGCATTCCAGGGAGGGAATGAGGGAACCAATTCTTGATTGAGCAGAACCTTAGGAAGAGTATCAGTTACTATCTAGACCAACCTATCCCACAGGACTGTTATTTTGAGGATAGAAATTAGGAAACCCATACTATATACTCCTCCTGACTCTTGAAGAGTTGAATCTGATGAATGCTACAATAAGAGGTTTGAACAATATTTATTATGGTTAACCAGGAGATTTGTAAGAAGACATCAGGCACAAATGAAACTGCTCCTGTGCTAAATTAAACTATTGATCAACATCCATTCAAATTCCTTGGTTCATATGTATTCTACTTGGTGCCCCTGTAACTTCAAGTGTGCTTCATGGGATTGGGATGACCCTCAAATGGATTTGAAAAGAACTCAGGACAAGGATACACGCATTGGTGGGATTCAAATATGTGAACCGTTTCTCTATGTGGATGCCACTTCCGGAAGTCCATTCTGGGCCTGAGCAACAAAAAATTAGCTACCGGTTCTGCCGAACTGGTGCAAACTGGCTGAATCCCACCACTGGGTACACATCTTAACTTGGTTTTTTATACACTTTCTCTTTACATATATTCCATCTATAGAGTTTCCATATCTTGCAAACTGTGAGAAATAATCTGATTTTCAAGCAAGAGTGTACCTTCTTCTGTTGTGGCTTTCTTCCTGTGGATTTAGTAATATCATAGTAATGTCATAATAAGCTTATATTTAAAGATGCTTTTCAAAACTGCAGTCTTCATAAAGTGGCCTAGCTGATCCAGAGGCTATTATGACGCACTTCAAAAATATTGTGTCCCTAAATTCTCTTCTGAAAAAATATACACAAAAGAATAAGCCAAAGAAAGGCATGTACTGTGCATGAATTAGACCTTGAGGGAGTCTTACTTTATGTAATGTCATTCCTTTCCTCTGCGGTTCCTTAAAAGCATTTTCATATGTCAGGGTTTTATAAAATTGCTTTTAGTAAAACAAGTTATTTTTATAATCCTTTTCAGGACATAAAGCCTAGGGTGCTTCAAGTGCCTTTGGGATACCCTTCAAAAAACTCATTTTAAAAAGCAAATGACTAGAATACCTGATCTGTGACATATTTTAATTAGTTTCTGTCTTAAGAATGACCTGAAAATGTCAGCACAGAATAGCATCTCTTAACATCATGCTTGTGTGAACTAGTATTGTAAGAAGCATTACATGATTTTCTGACTATGTTTTAGTTGTTGACCTACTTTATCTCTCATTTGGGTTTTTGTTTGTGTTTTTGCTGTTGAATGGTTTTCAAGCTTGAATATGGCATTTGTCCAAAGGCAGGCAAAGAAAATGGGAAAATGGACTTTTCCCAGGAATGGAAGTTAAATTAACTTATAGTTTGTCTGTCCTAACATGATAATGGAGGAAGCTCTGAAAAGCTAATTAGATTAGAATTCAATTAGATGTGATTCAGAACATTATCACTCACAGATCCATTTATCTGAAAGCCCTAAAAGATGAGGAGTGACTCTAAAAATTTAAGGATGTTTTATTAAGGAATTTAAATAGAGGCCATGAAAGTTTCAAAGAAGAAATCATAAAATGCAATTTTTTTAACATTCCATAGAGATGGGATCTACTATTAGTAGCTGTCTTTATGAGCAAAATTTTATTTCTGTTTGGACAGCTTTTCTGCATATATATTCCCCCATCTAAGTAAAAGCGAAGCTTCCTGTTTCCTGTTCTTAAGTCCTTTAAAACACTGAAGTTACAGCTGAGTGTTCAGTAAGGCCCTCAAGTCTGACATTCAAAGACTTCATGCATATACAGTATACATATTTCCTAGAGTAATCATTACTGAATGTAAAATGCATAGAACTGTCCTGCAGGTCTCAATTCATAGATTATTCAGGGAAATTAAAAGATGTTGTATTAGTCAGAACACCTTGGGAGAAAAAACCCTGAAATCAAAGGCATAGCTTTGGGGAAAACAGTATTAAAGTGGAGGCCTAAATGGTGTAGAGTTGAATTGCTGCCTGCTTTCTCTGGCACATATATTATCTTCAGTACTGTTATCACTGTAAGAGATCAGGGAAATGGGAGAATAAGCAAATAATTGTGAAAGAAAATTATGTTTAGTATACATTTGAATTTAATTGACCAAGTTCAGTCTTGTTCAGTCTTATTCGTCTTACAGATAGTCCTCAACTTACAATCATTCTTTTAATGACAGTTCAAAGTTATAACACTGAAAAAAAGTGACTAATGACAGTTCAGCAACAGAAAATTTGGGCTTAATTGTGATCATAAATCAAGGAATACCTGTATTAATCTTTTACTGTATAGTTTTTCCTTTTCTACAGAATCACTCACAAACTGCTAGATCCACACACAACATTGCAGTTAGTTGTTTACTTTGAAGTTATCCTTCAAAATCTCATCCAAAATATCCTTTTCTTTGAAGTAGATTTAAGCTTAGGGTAGGATAGGCTACCAGATTTTCCTTACATTGGGCTAGAATATTCCTTGGAAAGGGCTGTAATCTGGTTGCAATATGTATACTTGTGGTGTCCTACAAGTGTGCAGGAAGCAGGACTGCCTGCTCTGTTTCATATATATCTTGATAAGTGATTAATGATGAACTTAACTGAACATAGGTAACATGTTCCATACTGTACCATGATGATAAAGGTGGTGAAGCATTCCATCATCAGACTGTTGTCCAGATGTCCGATTTAAAGTTACTAATATCTTGTTGCAAAGGGAATAAAGAGCATTTACTGTCTGGCTGTTTTAAGTTTACTGATAAAGTTGCTCAAATTCTCACCAGAATCTTGATTCCACATCTGTGGGATTTGAAATGGTGACTGGACAACATCTTATGTTACTTGGAATTTATTAGATTTGATGAAACAAATATAAGGCTTTGTGGCATGAGCTCAGCCATCTGTAGATCCATGCCCTTCCTGGCTCTTTCAGGTGGATCTATGATGACTCGATTCCACTAGCTTGACATGGCCAGCAGGGGAGGCCTTCTCACCACAGCTGAGTCCTCACTGCCTACTCACTGCTGCCATCTCTTTCCAGGACATCTCAACACTGTAAATTTGCTGTGAGGATAACTCACTGCAGATGCTGGATGGAAAGCCGGGAGGGCGGGCAGCAGCGAGTTGGCAGCAAGGACTTGCTGGCTGCATCGAGTAGCGGCATCAAGTAATCCCATTCCGCTTCCAGATAGCCAGAGCAGGAGAGAAGAGATGAGTACAGGAGATTCATAACTGTTCTTTGGTGGATGAGATTATCCCAGTTGCCTATAACAAGACATTAATGTCCCCCCTTTTGAAGGGGACTCCCCTGGACCCCAAAATCTGGGTAATTATTGTCTAGTCTCCAATATTACTATTCCAATTAAGGCGGTTGGAAAAGAAGCTGCTTGAGAAGGAGCTTATAGGTATCCATTTTAATTGGTTAAGTATATGCCAGATTTAGGAATTGGATTGAGACAACATTAATCACTCTAGTACAGTGGTTCTCAACCTTTCTAATGCCGTGACCCCATAATACAGTTCCTGAACCACTTATACATCACCAGGTGCCAGGGGCGTGGCCAAAGAAAAGGGGAAAATGGCGGACAGCCTTGTTTGGTGACCCACGTGAAATGGTCGTTCGACCCCAAATGGGGTCCCGACCCACATGTTGAGAACCACTGCTCTAGTAGAAAAGCTTTGTCACAACCTGGATGACAGGAATGCATTTAATCCTCTCAGTGACCTTTGGTGTCATTGACAATGTAATTTTGCTAGCCTGGGTGGTTTGAGGATTGGTGCCACTATTTCACAATGATTTTCCTCCTTCTAAGTTAGTAGTTACAATCGGTGGTAGTTAGTAGTTACAATCAGTGGTAGTGGAGGAGAAAAGTTGGTTCTGCGTGTGTTTGATTCTCTCTCTCCTGCTGCTTAGCATCCCTGTGAGGCTGCTGGAGAAGTTATCCATCAGTCTGTGGGGAGGTACTACCGGAATGGTGTTGAGGTTTCTGTTAGTGCCTGGAGGCTTTGAGGGGCTGGATAGGATGAAAAAAGTTGGGGCTGTATCCAAACAAGAAGGATTTACTGTTTGCCCAGAGATCATCTGTTTCCTTATCTACTTTGTTGGTTACTCTAGGTAGGGTAGCACTTGCCTTACAAGGACAGGTCCATCACTTTGTTTTTCTCACAGCTTTCTCATAGTTTTGTGATAACTGCTTGATGGGCAGATGGGTAAAGTATGCAAGATGGCTTTTGGTCCAACTGGCTAGTGCAATTGGCCCTAAGGACCTGGAGATGGTCTCTCATGATCTGCTTGCTACTATTTCTATAGATATTTTTATATCTATATTGTATAGATATAAAGAGCTGTTACTGCTAAGCTACACCAATATTTTTGGCTTTGTTCTAGTTGGCAGTAAACCTCTGGGTATAATTCAGAGTGTTGGGTTTAACTCTTAAAGCCCTAAGTGTGTTGGCTCCTAGAGGTACTGCCAAGACCATTTTCTCCTAGGTAAAATTAACCCATCACATATACTCATTCCATGTTACAATATTGTAGGTCTCCACTCCACATGAAATAAATTCACCAGTGGCCTGGGAATAAGTATTTCTGATGATGCCCTTCCCCTCTGAAATAGCCTGTTCTCCAAAACATTAAATCAGTGACATTGCAGAAGGTGGTCATATTATTCTGAGCAGTTAAAAGTTCATACTGAGTTTTTAACCTTTTTTTATTCTTTTTAGTCTTATAAACAGTCTTCAAGTTCTAGTTGCATAGAAATGTGAGAAATAAATACATTTGAATACTCCTTTTTTCCATTTTCATAGGTACAGCCTCAGAACACACAAGGAGTGCTTTCTGTGAAGAATTTTGGCTACATTAGTTCAGGAATCTTTATGAAGCATTTAACATTAAAGCATGGCAGAAAATAAAGAAAGGAAACCTAAAAATGCAGATGTGAGACCCAAAACCAGCCGGAGCAGGAGTGCAGACAGAAAGGACGGATACGTATGGAGTGGAAAGAAGCTTTCCTGGACAAAAAAGAATGAGAACAGTTCTAATGCTGAGATGGCAAATGCCTCAGGAAAACCTACATTAAGTCTAAGGAATCAGGAGAGAAAACAGAGCTGTTTCTCAACTGAGATGGAATTGGAACATGTATGTGGTCACAGGTTCCTAGGCCGTACTTTTAAACAGAAACTGCAGGATGCGATGGGACAGTGTTTCCCCATAAAGAGTTGTAGCACTCGGCATTCTTCAGGGCTTTCACCAAAGAGAAAAATACATATCAGTGAGCTTATGTTGGACAAATGCCCTTTTCCACCACGATCTGAGCTAGCATTTCGATGGCATTTAATCAAGCGGCACACTGCCCCTGTCAAACAAATATCTGAAAGCTGGCTAAGTATGGGTTCATCAAAAGGTGAAAGGAAAGATGAAGAACTGAAAGAGATTGAGAGGGCAGGTGAATCAGACTCCGCTGTGTTGCAGGGAAATAATGCTATTGATAATGCTTCCTATCCATGTGATCCTCAAGAGGAATCTGCCATAGGTAAGCAGCTAAAGATCAGCAGAGAGGAAAGTGACATGGACTCCGATGATGAAGTAATGACACTCTGCACTAGCTCCAGGAAGAGAAACAAACCACGGTGGGAAGCAGAGGATGACCTGCTGCAGATGCCACTCAGATATCACACCCAGATTGATTATGTTCATTGTCTTGTTCCTGACCTCCTTCAGATCAATAATAACCCATGTTACTGGGGAGTGATGGATAAATACGCTGCAGAAGCACTTTTAGATGGAAAGCCAGAGGGGACTTTTTTATTACGCGATTCTGCCCAGGAGGATTACTTGTTTTCCGTTAGTTTCAGGCGTTATAGTCGTTCTCTTCATGCCAGGATTGAACAATGGAATCACAACTTCAGCTTTGATGCTCATGATCCATGTGTCTTCCATTCCCCTGACATTACTGGACTTTTAGAACATTATAAAGATCCAAGCTCTTGTATGTTCTTTGAGCCACTTCTCTCGACTCCCTTACATAGAACTTTCCCTTTTTCCCTTCAACATCTATGCAGGACAGCTATTTGTAACACTACAACTTACGATGGCATAAATGCCCTTCCTGTTCCTCCATCTGTAAAGCTGTATTTGAAAGAATATCATTATAAATCAAAAGTAAGAGTCCTCAGGATTGATGTACCAGATCAACATGCCTAGAAGGATATTCTGGAAGTTTTTTTATAATTATTTTGGGAGATTTTGTTTCTATTTCTCTTATTAACAAAATTTTCATGCAAAAATATCTACCCACCATATTTAACTTTGCCTGAGCCTTATGTCCAAATATATTTTTATTTCCTGCCCCAATGAACAGGTTTCTGTAAAAACACAAAACTGATACTAACGTTATATAAAGCTTTATGGAATTTCAAGGAAGCTATTTTAAAGTTTTTACTCAAGCATAACTTTTTAGATATGAACCTAAGTCAAGGTTCAAATTTGACTTGCCTTTTATAAACTAATTTATATGCACTACAGGCATGCTTGAAAAACTGAATATAGTAGTTCTTCCAGAATTACCAATTTGTAGCATTTTTTAAATCATTCTGTCCTTGCTATAAAAGTAAAATTAATAATATTGTGATACTCCTACCATTCTGAATACTTATTGTTTTAAATTTCATATAGGTTGCTTATATTTTGAGATTAAATGTCCCAATCATATGCTATGTGTCAGAACATGATTTGGAGTTGTTATCATTTTTAATAAATGTTGAATATATATGTCTAATTTTCTGGACATCTATTAAGAATCAAACTATTGCAGATGTTCTTAAAAGATTTTGATATATTACTACAGGCTTTAAAAAGAACTGTGTTGAAGCACACGTAGATGCCTGTTCCACAAACTAATAGTCATAAATGTTAAATGAAATGTATGAAAATAGTCTGATGGGTGTTTATCTAACTACCTCAAATCGTTACTCATATTACACTCTGTGTCAGTGGGGCCTTGGATCTTTTTTTCTGTCTGCTGTCTGTCCTTTGGTGCTATTTGTGTGTTTGTTTTTGGATTTAATTATTTGTTGTTGTTGTTAATTGCGAAGTCGTGTCTGACCCATCGCGACCCCATGGACAACGTTCCTCCAGGTCTTCCTGTCCTCTACCATCTTCTGGAGTCCATTCAAATTCACACCTACTGCTTCAGTGACTCCATCCAGCCATCTCATTCTCTGTCGTCCCATTCTTCTATTGCCCTCAATCTTTCCCAGCATTAGGCCCTTCTCCAGTGAGTCCTTCCTTCTCATTAGGTGGCCAAAGTATTTGAGTTTCAACTTCAGGATCTGGCCTTCTAAAGAGCAGTCGGGGTTGATCTCTTCTAGGACTGATCGGTTTGAACGCCTTGCAGTCCAAGGGACTCACAGGAGTCATCTCCAGCACCATAGTTCAAAGGCCTCAATTCTTTGGCAATTTCTAAGGGCAACTATAGTTAGGGAAGAAATAGTTAACTATCCACGTTCCTCTTCATTAAAACATATCCCTTGGAGCAGGGATGTCAAACTGCTGGCCCGTGGGTCAGTTTCATCATACCAAAGCCACGCCCACCCCATTGCTGGCAATGCAAAAAGAGTTGTGATACATAGTGACACATCACGTGACGTGGCGAGTTTGACACCCGTGCCTTGCAATATCCAATTCTCCATGTGGCATTTAAAGTGAAGAAAAAAATTTCACAGAGGCCAGTAGAAGTATAGAGAATCTATACCCTCAATCAATCAGAATAGAGCTGGAAGGGACCTTGGAGGTCTTCTAGTCCAATCCGCTGCTCAAGCAGGAGACCCTAAACCATTTCAGACAAGTGGCTGTCCAGTCTTTTCTTAAAAATCTCCTTCTGTACTTATATACTCAGTATAAATATGTATAAGAATATATACTCGTACTGGGAATCTCCACAGACATAAAATGCAGATGTGGAGGAGAAGATGGTGCAGTATGAGCTTTACTTTAATGGCAATTAAAATTATAAAAATTGTACAAAAAGGAAAAAGCAGATTTATAGTTCATTATCAAGTGAGATACTGTGAGTCTAGAAAGATTTTCCAAGGTAATGTACTTTGGGAAGGGAAGCCTTAAGATAAATAAAATGTTTTTTTAAAAAAGAATAACACTTCTCTGACATATGGATGTTATTCAAAGTAAATCTCACGAATGAACCCATGTCCTTACATTGTTATGCTTCTGAAACTGCTCCCCAAATTGCTGAAAACAAGAAGGTGGCAAAATTATTCTTCTAAATCTGTCTCATATCCCGAAAATCATACATTCATCCCTAGCACTCCAAAGCCAAGAGTTATTCTTGTCAGGCTTGAAAAAAAGAGAAGGGAGAAAAGACCCAGGGAGATCCTGCGAAGAGGTGGATAAAAAGCTGCCCTTGGGATTTGTACATTTTCAAAACCAGTTCATGCTTTCATTTCTCCATAAGCTTTTTGGGGAAAAAATGATGCTTGAAAGATACACAACAACCTCAGAAGCTAAACCTGGGTTTATGGAGTGCCATAAAAATATTGTTCACACCTAGCGGCTGCATAGATTTTCTCTACGGTGACCTATCCCAGGGGTAGGTAACCTTGGCTCTTTTATGACTCGTGGACTTCAACTCCCAGAATTCCTAAGCCAGCCATGCTGGCTCAGGAATTCTGGGAGTTGAAGTCCACAAGTCATAAAAGAGCCAAGGTTGCCTACACCTGATCTATCCCAAGCCTGGTCTTTCAGGTCTTCCAACCTGTTGCCACTGTAACTAAGTCCATCCACCTTCCTTTTTTACAGTTGTAGTATAGGGTCCAAAGTATATAACATTGATTGCAGGTGAAAGAATATTCTTTATTTTTTAAACTTGGTATTCCCATATGTAAATTGCTACATATGTCTGGGCCACAATCTTTTTAATACCTTGCAGCACTCTGCTTGTTTCTTTACCTTATCCCTAAATAAAGCAGTCCCCTTATGCACACTCAGGCACACAGCTTACTTACTTTACAAATTGTTGCCATTCCTTTCTTTTGATGCCACTCCAGTGTTTATCAAGCACATATTTTGGTTACTCCTGTCATGGAGAGAGTGATGTTATTGCAGTTGATCACAATCATCAAGAATGGAGAAAAGAGTGTCCTTAAAATAAAGGTTAGAACAATATTACCCTCCCCTTTCAGACATCAATCTCTTGAAAAAAAGTAAAAAATGAACTAGATATACAATTCATCCACATTCTCAAGGACAGCACTTTGTCCCCTAAGGATTAAAAGTATTTAGGCTTTTCCACAGTTTTAAAACTCAAGGCTACAAATATCTGGTTCTATTTTAGCAATAATCTCCTTTTATTTCATTTAGAAACTGAATTATTCTTGATTTCTTAACCAGTTTCTATTTCTTTTTTGTTTTGGCCCCATATTGGTCGTAGATCTTGTTTATTTGATCTTAATTATTTGAACAGTGATTCTTCAGACACCATTGCAAAGCACGTCTTTGGAAGAATTTGCAAAGCACTAATGTTTAAAAAGTCACTAATATCACCTTTCTGTTCAGGTGCACCTGAACAAAATTACTAACAAAATCAAAGAGATTTTACATAAAAACTCTACCAGGATCTGTTATGTGTTATAAAGCAGCTACAGAAAAATAAAAATGTGACTTGAATGCTTTGAAATATATATTTACTAATGTCATTCAGACCTGTAATTTTTTTCCTTGAATAATGTGTCAGTTGAGGCAATATAAGTACAGCTACATAGATTATGAAATGCATGCAATATAGTCACGGTGAAGACATAATTTGAAGGTCAGAAGGTTTGCATTGGAGACATTGATATGAACAGGTGTTAAAACACATTCTTAGGAAAATTTACTAGAGTTTCAATTAGAGGCCAAGGGTGGGACTTCTGATGAACATTAACCAGCACAATCCAGTGCAGGCCCCTTCAGCCCCTACAGCTTGTCCACAAGGATATGATGGTTGATGGTATCGAAAGCAACTGAGAAGTCAAGCAGAGCAAGGATGGCTGTACTATCCCCATCATGTTCCTGCTATATATCATACAACAGGCAACCAGTGCAGTTTCCATCCCATAGCCAGGACTGAAAGATGATTGAAAGGGATCCGGATAATCTGCCTCATCCAGGACTTGCTGATGCTGTTGCATACCGCCTTTCAATGAAAATTATCCAGTACGGTTGGGTCTAACAATGCTCATGAGGTGTGTGTGTTTGTGTGTGAATCAACACCTCTATAAGAAACAGAAAAACAGCTGTTTTATCACTGCTATAATCCAGCCACATATTGCCTAGAAGGCCTTTGGCAGCCAGGAAGGACATGAATCTAGTAAGCAGGTGGTTGAGCTCATAGTCATAAGGGCTCTGTTTCCTAAGGCCCGACAAGTCCAGACTCATATGCGCCGCCCAGAGTGGCTCTATGAGGAAGATGGGTGGTTTCTAATTATGGTATCTAAAAATAAATATGTTTAAGTCCTGTGCTGCAGCTACCAATTATAAAGATGATGTTGGAGAGAAGGATCATGGATCATTTGTACTATCAATCTAAATAGCAGGAAATTAAAACACTGTTTAAGCAAGGTATTCACTACTATGGAATATAATAATAGACACCAGCTTGGATAGCTTTAAGAAGATATTAGATAGATTCAGGAATAAAGCAGCTGGAGTGCAATGATTAGACAGCAGCTTTGCTTGGTTCATCAGGATGAACATGAGATTGAATAATAGCCACTTGTCAAGAAAATGGCAAGAGTGTTCTGTCATTAGTTTAAAATCAGATTGTTTAGTTAATAGCAAAAGGTCAAGATATAATGTTCCAACTTGCTAGAATATTTTTGTTTGGTTTGCTTTTTGTTTTACACAGGACATTTTACTATATCTGCTGAGGCCAACCATTTCTCATGTCATACTTTACTGTCTCAGCAGACAAACAGCTCATCCAGCTGGCAATTGTGTTGGTAAAAATAGTGACTGTCCCTTCTACCCTGTCCATTGCCATATCTCTGTCGAATAAGGAGGAAGGACTCTTTCCCAAAAGGAAGGCACCTGCAAGACAAAGGAGATGCCCAAATGCCAAACTGCAAACAGAGAGCATCGCTTATCCTAACACTGAACAGTTTGTTACTAGAATAGCAATTTAAATGCCATTGATGTAGGTGCCCATTATCCAAACTTGGCTTGTAAAAAAAAATCTCTCTAAACAAAATATGAAGACTCAATTTTCAGTTAAAACTTAATGTAAATTGATTTTTAGGTCTTGAAGAACTTTACAATAAAACAAAATTAAAAAGAACCTCATCCCCCAAAAGTACTCAGCAACATCCAAGGCCATCTTAATTATCTACAAACAGTGTATGGCAAATTAGTATAATGTTGGATGCTCGTACTGTGATTTAAGCCTGCCAGGTTTGTGAATCTTGTGAGTCAGGCAGTTTGTTGCTTATCAACAGAAATGGTTATATGCACCATATCTGAGACTCCACCTCTAATAGCAACATTTTCTCTTAATGGGAAATTATGGAAGAATAATATATTTTACTGATAGATTCTGCAGAACGGATTTTTCTTCTCTACTTCTATTTCTCCCATGTCTTCCCAAATCATGTCTGAGGGACAAATTTCATGGCTTCCCACCATGGATTAAAGAGAGGGAAGGAGGGCCGAAAACGGCAGAAGGGCGAGTTCACATGAAAATTGTGGTATAAAGCTCTATATTTCTATTTAAAAACTGCAAT